CTCTTCGTCCCAAAGTAAGAGGAAAACCAAGTCCTGTGTATCCTTGGGGGTGTTTTGAGTGGAGGTCTTTTTGTTCCCAGGATGGTGTCAGTAAAGCAGAATCTTGCACACTGCATCATACCTAGTAATCAGGCGTAACCAGGGGCTCCATTGCCCGCTGTCAGTGTGACCCGTCACCCATGCGGGCTGACTTCTCTGCCCTGCTGTGTCACCTGTTTGCTTTCAGCGCAGAAAACAAATATCTGCAGCCTAGGAGAGTCTCCCCCCCTTCCCTCTAGGTTTTTGGGAACGTTTTGTGGGTTTGGTTTAGAGCTAGGGAAGGGGGGCTGGTGGTATTTTGCCTGAGGACTCAAAGCTTTTTTTCTTCTTCCTTCGCATGACTGACTTTCTCACACTCGGATTCCCTGCAGCCTGCCAGAGACTGGGTTGCTGCCTTGCCAAGAGCTGTCCTGCTAGGGCTATTGAAAGGCTTTGAGTGAGTACACATGGGGTGGATTTCTCTCCTCCCCTCATACCTGGCCCGCACCTGTACTGGGAGCAGTCCCACACCTATCACCTGATCACAGCCCTTTCACACGCCGTGAGAAATAGAAAGCCCAAGAGAGAAGAGTCTGTGTTTGCCTTTCCCCAGAGGGGCAGCCAGCTCCTTGCAGCTGGGAGTGTCCAGAATTTGACATTCCAGGCATCCTGTGCTTGCGTGTTTGTCTGTGGGTGCCTCCTGTTGACATGGAGGGGGAGGGGAGGGAGGCAAGGAGGAAGCTGGAGAACACTTTTCCTGTGGCCACTTCTATGCTCTAGCCTCAGGCAGGTGTTTGGATGGTGTCAGCATCCTTTCCTAGAGTCATCATCTTTGTCCCCCAGGCAGAACTTGGACAGGTAATGAGCCCAAAAATGAATTCGAATTTGTTCCTCGATATGTCTGTATGTCCCCTTTATGTCTCGAAGGTGTCTAATAAATACATCCCATACAAACAATTGCATCACTTTTTTGCCCAAGGAGGGTCCACAGCTTCCATGAGATCTAAAGGTTTTGTGGACAGAAAGGTTTAGGCAACCTGTGCCTAGAACTATCATCCTAATCTCCTGAGAGGGAAGGGGCTAGCTAGAGGATGCAGCGCAGTGTAAGGCCTGGGGTGGGGAAGAGCATGGCCAGCACCCAGGCTCTCCACTGCTGAAGTGTTGCGGTCCTCGGATTATTTTAGGGCAGGATTTACAGAGTTCCAGTCGCCAGCTCCAGCCTGCCTTTCTGAAGTGGAGATGTTAATAATAATGAGTTTTAGTTTCTGCAACTCCATCGTCTTCAGCCGCTGCCTGGCCAGTGTTTAGATAGATGCAGACAGGAGAAGGATGGCGACTGAGAGAAGCAGGTTCGGGAATGCTTAGAACAAGAGTTTGGTTGCCATGCAGAGGCACTGGAAACAACTGCGAGACTGCATTCCATCTTCGATAAAAATAAGTTGCCACTTCTGAACAACAACAACAAAAAATGCCTGCTTGATTCCTGGCCAAGCCCAGCCGGTGCTAGGAGAAGCCGGGTCGGGGTGGAAAACAGAGGCTTTCGACATTGGCTAATAGCCTGTGTGTTCCCCCGCCTACTCCCTAACACTCTCTGGAGCCAGTGAGACCAAGGGAATGTGCACTTCCCTGTGGGCTCTGAAGGAGGGTGGCTGCCAAGAAGGCCTTTCTCAGCAGGGTGGGGGTGGGGCGCCCATGATGTGCTCAGCTCTCCCACATGGCCGGGCTGCAGGGTCATGGGGATGGGGGTGGGTGGGTAGGGGTTGGTGGCTAAATGTGCTCATAGCCAATAGTCTAACCTCAGAGTCAGGCTTCTGTGAGGTGAGCCTCCAGGATCAGGGTTGAGGAGGGCTTTCCCAGCCAGAGACGGTGGGATGCTACCTCAGGGCCCAAGCCATGAAAGATTCCAGCCGGGCTAATGGCTGAGGCATGTGAGGACAGGCCCAAGGGCCTTGGGAAGGTTAGGAATGTGGGGGTGAAACTGAGGCCCTAAAAAGCCAGGGTATGCAATTATTTGGCTTGCAAATAGGCCACTCAAATGGTGACATCAGACCAGATCTCTCCAAAACTCGAAACAAAAATAAATATAGCTGCCCAGAAAAATCAATTGAGTAAGATTCGAGACTGAGAATGATGTAAGCTGGGGCCTGGTGGCACAGGTCTGTAACTCCCTCTGAGGCTGGCAGATTACAAGGTCAAGACCTGCCAGAGCTAGAGTTCAAGGCCAGCCTTGGTAACTTAGATTCTGTCTCAAAAAGTAGAGGGCTAGGGGTACAGCTTGGTGTTAGAAGCCTTTGTCTAACATATATGAGACCCTATGTTCAACTCAGTGCACAACTGTGTGTGTGTGTGTGTGTGTGTGTGTGTGTGAAATGGATGAATATATACAATATATTTTCTATCTTCTCTGCTCCCCTCCACCTTCCAGTTATCTCAGATTATAGGAAGCTATGGGCTAGGGGGTAGGGGGATAGCCGTGGAAAGAGACTCTTCATTCATGTAATGAATGAGGAGACAGGCCAGGAAGAAATGGCTTGTGCAAGTGTGGTTGCCTCCCTGGAGAAGGAGTAGCAAAACCTGGACCAGGACTAGGCTCTCCACCAACTCTCCCCACTGTCTCTGTAGGAGAAGGATGTATTATCCTAAGGATGGATTTTCCAGCTGAGGAAGAAGAGGCCTTCTGATAAGGAAGCACATTGGGGAGCAAAGCACGCATCCTTTAACAAGCTTTCCTCCGGGTCCTCTGTACTGTGATTCACTGAGATTTGTTCGTCATCCCATATTCTCTGGAAGGGAAGCAATCTTGACTTCTCAGTTCCAAGAGACAGAAAAGCTTTGGTAGGGGCCACAAGAACAGGCACAGGGGCCCCTCTCAGTCAGCTAAGCTAAGCCACGTGTCCTTCTTGCTCATGGCTAATCTCTGTGATCTAAAGCTGGTTCTCAACCTGGGGGTCGACCTTTTCACAGGGTTGAATATCAGATAGCCTGCATGTTTACATTATGATTCAGAACAGTAGAGAGATTGCAGTTATGAGGTAGCAACAAAGGTAATCTTATGGCTGGGGGTGGGGGTGGGGTCACTACAACTTTAGGAACTGTATCAAAGGGTGGAAACATTAGGAAGATTGAGAACCACTGCTCTAAGAGGAAGACTGGGAGAGAGAATGGCCCTCGGTCTGAATCCTCAGATGCTAAGTTTTCATCTCACCAGTGGAAAACATAACCTTGGGAATGCCAAGGAGGGTGTAGGACACAGACTTTGCTTGAGCTCTGGGAAAAAAAATGTCGCATTTATCAGAGGGATGGGTAGGACAAATAATGGATTTTCCAAGTGACTGAGAGCTGATGTTTCTGTGTGAGCCATATATTTTCCTTTGGGATGTTGAGCTCAGGGAATGGTCCAGGAAACTGCCACAAGTGTCTTCTGCAGTCTCCCTCGGAAGGCCTGAGAAAGTGGCAGCAGCTTTGCCATCAAAGCCTCTTGAAGAATTCTGTACCTTGTGCTTTTTCTCAGTGCTAGTCGCTCTGTTCTGTGCAGACTGTGGAGTTACAGGCATAGATAGAATCTTAAAGAATGGAAAGGGTTTTTTCATGGTGATGGGGAGTGGAGCAGAGAGTCTGCATCCTGCTTTGGGGTCATCCTTGGGGGAAGGGGTTCCAGAGGGGGCGTGTGGTGCCTTACAGCAAAGGGAGAAGCAGGACCAAACTTTAATCTCTGCTGTCTGTCAACGTCTGTGGGCATGGTGGAGCCTGTTTTGGATCCGCTTAGTGCTACCCAGTATGTGGACAGATGTGAAGTGTGGACAGAGTTCCTCTTTTTGTGGGCTTGAACTGCTCCAGGGCCAATCTTGGCTGCTGTCCTAGGAAGCCCATGGAAACTGAGCTCTCTGGAAACATGCTGGTGCATGCCAGGCTGGCCTGACCTCACAGAAGGGCCTCTTGATCAAGTATGTTTCTGGCTCCTGGAGGAGGTTGCCAGGCATTGTGTATCTCATACAGATATCCAGCTGGGCCTCAATCTCAACAGGCTCCCACAGTCACAGGCTCCCACAGTCATACGGGGACCGAGTACTCAAGTTCAAGTGATATCCAGAGTGATCTATACCCTCCTCACTTTCTCACCATTGGGCAGACATAGACTTGGTACCTGGGATGGTATGTCACCTGGGTGGAAGGGTATTGTCCCTGCTGGTTAGCTTTGTGTCAAATGAAACGTGTTGACTGTGGTTGGGTAATTCAGTGAGGGTTAGATTTTTTCCATTTCCGCTTAGTTGCTTAATTCTGCACAACAACAGAAAAAAATGTGTGTGTGTGTGCGTGTGTGTGTATGTGTGTGTGTGTGTGTGTGTGTGTGTGTGTGTTTGAGCACCTGGTCTATGGGAATCAAGAGTTACACACTTACTCAACAGTTCCTTCTATTTCTGCCTACTGTGCAAATGTTATTCCTCTGCGTGGAATGGTGACATTCCAGGTTTATATTTCAAAAATGTCCCCTCTACTTCCGACATTTTCTTATTGAACATTCATTTTATTATTTATTTACTTAATGACCTCTTTCTTGGTGCCAGGGATTGGGCCCTAACTAGGCAAGCACTCTACTGTGGAGCTATGTACCCCAAGCCACATCTCAAAGGCTTCATCTTCCTTGAGTCTCCAATAAGCAAGCTATTTGGGAAACACCTGTAACAGAGTAGGCACCCTGATATCTGGATGATAAACACAGGAATCAACTTGGACTTAAGGAGATGAGTTTTAGAGGTAATCAAGTGTATTCAGGCTGAGTATTGTTTTCAAACTCTTAACTGCTTAGTCAAAGGGCTAGGTTTACTTTCGACTACTCCTGATGATCACCTGTGGGCAGCCAGCACCCTCCTGGCTATTCCTTTCTAGAGGAATCTGTGTCTGTCCATGTTTTCCCAGGCCTATCTTTATTGATGGTTATTAAACACACACCACCACATGGCAATGTGCAAGTACAAAGCAATTCTCAGGGTAAGGTACGTGGGAAGAAGGGAGATACTGCACTCCCAGACAATCGTCCTGCAATCACAGCCTGCCGTATCTATGTAAAGTTAATAAGTAAGATTTAAGCAGGCAGGTCCCATCATTGCAAAGCAGCTAGAAAGGGTAAAAGTGCCAGTGGGCAGGCCGTGCATCCCTCTGGAAGACTGGAAAAGCAAAGGAGGAGGACACCTGGGGCAGGTGAGTCCAGTGGATCCTCACCCCGGTAAAAAATGCCTGGGAGGTGAGGCCCCACTTCCTGTTTCCCCTGCCCTCCTGCTTCTCTTTTCATGCCAGCTCCTCGAGGAAGACTCCGTGGAGCCAAGAAGTAAACAGTCTTCGTATCCAGATGCACTGGGTTAAGTGTGACCGAAGCACACGGAACACCTGCTTTGACAGAGCACCCCAGCACACCTGCGGTTTTACGAGGCCGATAAAGGGGGCTGTGAAGTCACAGGGGCAATGTCCTGCTATTCACATAGAGCTTTCCTCTGGGAGTGGTGAGTGAGCTCCAGCTGAGATTTGACTGACCTGATGATTACTTGCATTAGGAATGCTGAGCATTGGAGCCCTATGTGTGCTCAGGAAAAGTGGGATAGCAGAGGATCTACAGGGCAGACTTAGGAGCCAGACTGCTTGAGCTCAAGTTCAAATTGTAGCTGATTGGATTTCTAGCTGTGTGACATAATAATTCAAGCCCTTAATTTTCTTACCTATTATATATATTACATATATATATTATATATAATACATAGATATCATGTATTAATATATGTTAATATATAATATGCATATATGTATAAATATGTGATACTTAAAATAACTTGCAAACACAATGGACATGTTTAGATGCTTTTATTTTTTCTCTATGTATATCTCTGATGAGTAAGTACTTTTCGTTCATCTAAAAACATTCATAAGATGTTAATGTTTTTAAATAAATAGATGGAAAAGCATCTATTTATGAGTGGGTCTGTGTGCATATTCAACAAAAGGGAAGCTTACACCTGTCTACATGAATCAGAGCTCTGAGGCCAGGAGAAAGCTTTAAAGAAGGCAGGTCTGACCCTGCTTTCTTTTCCAGGGAGGAGGTCTTACTGCCCATGCAATTTGGCTAGGCTTTATTTGCTAGCAGACACGGATCAGAGCTTGGTGTGGCCTTGACTTCCTTGCACTGAGCCCCAGGCTCTTGGAAAGGAACCATATGAATGGAGCCCAGGGCATCAGAAAGGATGTATTGGCCTGGCCTGAGCGTATGGGGTGCCCTTCTCCCACCCTGCCCAGCTCAATGGGACAGGGGACCCAGAGCTCCAGAGAAATACTCAAACAAAGAAACAAAGAGGCCCAGGCTTACTTACGTGAATCAGACTGGTGAAAAAAATAAACATCCAAGACCCTCTGGCTGGCTCCTGTTCTGGGTGAGTGGCCATCTAACTTATGGCCTCAGCTGGGGCACACTGAGGGCAAGGTCAGTGAGGCTGGAATAACCTGGGACACATGACTGTCCTTGTTTCTGTGGCCTCTGACTACGCACTAAGTTGTTCGTTCACCTGTTCATTCAAATGCCTTCTGAGGGGAGTGAGACATGATTTGTGTTTGACACCTGGGGGAAGTGACGCTGTCAACCTACCCTCCCTCAAAGAATGTGCTCCTTCGGTTGTTTGTTTGTTTGATATTGCTGTGATAGGATCCCTTGAAGCCCAGACTGGCCCTGGACTCCAGCTCCTTTCAGCCTCTACTCCTCAAGTGGCAGGATTACAGGTGTGTGACCCTCATGTCAAGCTTGAGCCCCTGTTTTTAACTGAGAGGCTTTAATTCAGCACACATGGGACAGGGTAAAAGAAGGAGAGACTCAGCAACAGTTCTGCTTTCAGTATCATCCACTGGACTTGGTTTCGCCTTTGATAGGGCAGGGGACCCTCAGGACGCCCCCTCACTGTTGGTCAGTTTGCTCCCTGGTGTGGCTACTTCAGACACTTGGATCTACCAACCCTGGCTGAGAAGGTCCAGTTTTCTTTGGCGTGTGACTATTAAGAAGGCAGGTGCTACACGAAAATCTCTGGCCATTATTCAATGGCTAGGGGAGGCCTTCAGGAAGGAACACTTTCCCACCTGAAATATTTGCCCGGTGAGCCTTGAATTTGACAAGTCTTGAAATTGTTAAGAGAGTGCAAATCATTTTCTGAACAGGTCAAAGACAAAGTTTATGCTTTGTTAATTTTATAAAGAGAGAGAGAGGGAGAGGTAGAAAATGGCTCCCTTGCTTGTGTATTTATCTATGTACCTATTTAATGATTAATACTAGCTTGTGGGCTATTGTTTGATGTGGACTCTGCTGGTTTGAACAGGAGAATACCGATTCGCTCTTTAGGCATTTAGGACTCACAAGTGTTTACCTTGAGACAATAAGCAAAAGGGGGAGATCCAATAACACCCACATATGCCAAGTGCTTTGACTAAAAACTGGTGATAACATGGAATCTTAGGGGCAAATCCCTGTGTGGGGCCTGCTGTTTTTTTTTGCTCAGAACAATACTGTGTAGAGTGATTCAGACTGGGGTCTTGAGTGTTAATTGATTTACTCTTTCACTTGTTGATAGATTGAGGCAACTTTCACTGTATTCCCATGGCTTGTGCATTCATCATATCTCGCCATTTGTCTGCAAGAGATTCTAGTCTTTTTCTTTAATTTCTGTGTGTTTTGTGTGTACGTGTACATGTAGAGGCCAAAGGTCAGTGTTGGGCGCTTATTCTCTAATTTGCTTAGCCGTATTTTTGAGACAGGGTCTCTTACTGAACCTGAGGCACACCAAATCAGCTAAACTGGGTGACTAGTGAGCCTCTGGGCTTCTCTGTGTCTGCCTCCCAGTACAAGGATTATGGGTACATACAGGCTTTTTCCATGGGTGAAGGGGGCGCCAACTTGGGTCCTCATGCTTGCATGGCAGGTGCTTTCATACTGAGCCATACTGAGACGCACACCGAGTTTCCAGGCTACCAGTCTTTATTCCTCGGAGGCTTTCGTGGTGGCAGTGGGGAAATCAGTGTGGAAAGGTGGAAGCCTGCCTGAAAGTGGGGCTGGAAAGGACGCTTGATCTGAGAGAGCCCGTATGTTAGATGATCGGTCAAGGCGTTAAGAGATGGCACACCCTACACAGAGCAATCCAGCGGGGGAGGGTGTGGATGTAAACCATGTGCCCTGGAAAGGGCCTCATAGGAAAGACATCCCATAAACACCCAGGGAACAGCCTTCTAGAATGAGCAGGTGCCGAGCAGGACTGTGTCTGCATGCTCTACAACCCTCGGGAGGTCAGAGTGAGCAATCAGGGGAAGAGAGAACAGGGAGTTGTGGTGGCCAGTGCTGGACCACAGAGCTACACCTCTGCAAATTATTTCCATGGGGGGCCTACCCAGACATGTTTGGTTTTCTGTTTTTGTGTTTTCAGTGCTAGGGATAGAACCTAGAAACTTTGGCTTGCTAAGAACAGGCCACACTCACAGGCCTTTTGTGTGTGTGTGTGTGTGTGTGTGTGTGTGTGTGTGTGTGTGTGTGT